CGGGGGGGGGGGGGGGGGGGGGGGGGGGGGGGTATTCAATTGGAACTTTTGAAGATTTTGATGGACTTTTTTGAAGTGGTGACTTTTGTGGCTTTCTTGGATCTTTTATAGATTTGTATGGAATTAGTGGAAGTCTTTCGTAGACTTTTATGAATTTTCAATTTAAAATATTTATAGATTTTTATGGAATTTAAAAGACTTTTGAGACTTTTATTTGAAATAGAATTTACGTGGATTTCATGTGAAATTCTCACATACTAGGTGTTAGTTCCCACAATTCCCCTTTTGTTTCCCCTTCTTCCTCTTATATAATAAAAAAAAATTGAAAAAATAAAAATTTAAAACCTTAATTAAATACATAATAATTAAAATTATACATATATATGATTCAATATTATTAGTATAGTTTACTTTTATAAAAAAATAAAAATTCATATATTGAAATATAATTATATATGTTTTACAAAAAAATGAATGAAAAAAGAAAAAAAATTACAAGAATCCAATTTAATTTTTCATAGAAAATAGAGATAAATAATAAGAGAGAGAAAGAAAGATAAATGTAATATAATCAATAGAAAAAAATATGTTCATAGAAGGTTAAAGGAAAGAGAGATTGAAAAATAAAATACCTCAAAATCTCGTGATTAATGTGAAACAAATTTTAAGATTTTATGTGAGTACTTCTGCTTAAAGGTTAATACTCTAGAGACTTTTATAAAAGTCCCTAGAAGTCATTAAAATTTGAATACCCCAAGACTTATAGAGATTTCTAAAAAATTTTAATTGAATATACCGTAACAGTTTTTAAAAGTCTATAAAAGCCTCAATTGAATACCCCTAAACTTACAAGGTTTTTTTTTTTTTTGTCATGCTACTTTAAACCATTTTGTTAAAATAATTAGAATTAATTTGAGTAGTCCGTGATCTTTTATACCAGGCAAAACTAAAGTAAGCGAAAGTAGGCTATGAATTATTGAATAAATGATGTAAAACACTAATAGGAAAAAACAAGAGGCTACAAAAATGACACAAAAACAACAATTGAAGTTCTCATCCTTAGAACTTTAAACTAATGTAATCGGGTGCCTAACACGAACAACTTTAATCTAACAAGTAACTAGCTAAAATGTGCCGAGTTGAGTAATTAACTCTTTATTTAATCTCCTAAGACATTCACAACCTAATATAAAAGAAAATCATTAAATCATTGCTTATATTTAGTTAAGAGTACATTTGTGACGAAAAGTTCAATACAATTAATACCAAATGTTCATATGAAGAACTGAAAATAGATAAGAAAATAGACAAGTAAGTTCATTTGAACTAACACACGAATATCTTTCACGTTTATGAATGGATTTTTCTAAAACTTACATACATTTATTTTTAACATTAACCAATTAATGTGCAAGGCACGTTAACCACACTAGTAGACATAAATAAGTGTACATATTTTACACTATTGTATATCTTTCTGCAGTCCTAGAATCTAACTGTCTTTCTGCTGAAAAATCTCAACTTTCTTGATGGAAACTACTGGGTTTTCTTCTCCGAGACCAGATGCTTTTCCGACACGTCTTAGGGTTCTTGTTGTTGATGATGATCCCACCTGGTTGAAGATTCTTGAGAAGATGCTCAAGAAGTGTTCGTATCAAGGTTCTCTTAGAATAAATTTATCAATTTTTTTTAGTGATTCTAATATTATTTTTATTGCATGGTTTATCAGTGCAATTATCTTCTTTTTTCATGTGGTCAATTATCTTCTTGACATATTAGTTCATAGTTAATTTTCACTTTTTTGTTCTTTTGATTTTTGGAGGGATTTTATTTTTGTGTTATACAGAGGTTTTGAGTTGGTTTGTGGGACATTTTATCTGAGATTTTTATTTTTTTTATGTTTGGTATTTTGCAAGAAAAATATGCTAAAATCTTATTTATTATATTGTCTTGTCCTATCCAGTACTATATACTGAAAAACAGTTCACATACTAATTTTTTGTGAGAGCTTGAAGTCTGCAACTATGACTTGCTTGGTTTTGGAATTGAATTTTCATTTTTTTCCCCTTTTTTTTATGTGTTTTCGCTCAAAAGTTATATATCTTGGTTATAGTATGATGGTTCCTGGTGAAGTTCAGTGATGAGATAGAAAGTTTTGAGTTTAATCCTTGTGCAATTGTGTAATGATACCAAATGTATGCCTTATTGATTTGTTGATTTAATTTGAAAAAGAAAGTTTCCATATCTCTTTCCAATTTTGTCTCGATTAGTTCACAATATTGAATAACAGATTTTTCCATTCGGTTTCCTTTTTCCTTTAGTTTCACAATTTTGTTCCCTTTTTTGTCAACCCTAAGCTCACCCGCTCCCTCAACTTCTAATGTACAGAATCTCGAACTGGAATTCTGTACAACCCAGCAGTGACCACCCAGAAGTCAAAGCACCGCCGACGAGGACCACCGATTTTTTGACACGGTTTGCCTTTTCCTTTAGTTTCGAATTTTTTTTTTTAGTTTTCTATATTTTTTCGTTCAGTCAATCACAAATTAAAGAGGACAATGTTGCAAGTTGATATTCATGTTCCGAACTAAGAGGAAATATTTGTTGTTGCTTTTGACAGTGAAAAGATACTCAATATCTAGTGCCACTATTCTTTTCAAGTTTCACTGCGCGTAATGAATATCCAAGGTTTACGCTTTTGTCTTCTCTCTGTCCAATTCTAAATTCTGTTTTTGGCGAGAAATAAAAAAACTTAACCGAATTATGGGGAAGATAACGAGGTTGATTACTGGTGGGGTGCAGTACAATGAAGTGGGTGTTGGTTTATGTGAATTTTTTTTTTGTTATGAGACATTGGATGCACAATCTTCTCTTCTGTCCAATTCCAAAATTCAATTGTTGTGTTATGAGACATTGGATTGGTTTCCTAATTAATTAATGGTATATTTTATCACGTGATTGTGAATTTCTGAGACGAGCAAGATTGAACTTGGGAAAAAAGATGATGCAGTTTCTACACTTGTGTCTTTTGACTTTTCTCCTATCCAATTCCAAATTCATTTTTGGCGTTACGAGACATTGTATGCATAATGTTAACCTCTGTCGAAAGTCCTATTCCGAATAGAGGTATTGTGTGAAGATACATAAGCTGTCTTTTCTTATTAATTAATGATTGTTGTTATCATCTTATCGTACATTTGTGAGGCTTGTACGACTGAACTTAGGCAAAAAAATATGATGCTGATTCTTAGGAAGTGTTGAGGATCTTGGGAGCAGTGTATTAGTGTATAACAAAAAGATGTATTATCACATCATAGTTGAATATTCAAAATCCAGTTCAGCGAAGCACGTTTTGATTATTGGTACTTAGAGTGAGTGCTTGAAGATCAGCTGTGTTGGATAAAGAGAGGGAGAGTGTATTTTTAATGAATT